AAAACCTATCCAAAAAAACCATTCAGACAACATAATACAGCTACAGGAAAAATTAACAAGATCTACAAGGAGCAGAAGGAAATCTGGGGGTGAGAAAGGTGTTGTGAAATGGCTGCTTTTTCTGAGAGTTTTCAGGTTGGCCTCCACAGTTTGATTTAGCCTATGCCTGCTTCTGTGTGAGCCATGCTATATGGCACAATGTCCAGTCCTGAAAAGGTCAAGGGGTTTGGAGAGGTCATTCTGTAGTTGCAATACCAGGCTAATCATTCAGAAAATGTGTCCCTTGGATGAACTCAGCACTCACTCTGCAGCTCACCAGGGTCAAATTTTAACTGTGTTTGTTTAATATAAGTCTTCTCCACATTGAAATGTAGATGGATAGATGATAGATAGATAAATGATAGATAGATAGATAGATAGATAGATAGATAGATAGATAGATAGATAGATGATGAATGGATAGATACGCAACAATCTATATCGCTTATGTCTCTTCCAACAAATATTAAAAACTTCATATAAAACATACCAGACACATGCATTTTAGCAGCAATTTACTAGCTGTGCCTCCTTTTTCCAAATTGCAATTTTAAACTGTATTATCTTATACCTGGGAAAAAAGATTTATAGGAAGCACAAAATCTATAGAGAAATAAAAATAGGAACCTTCTTAATTCTGATGCCTTCTGTGTTATCAGTTCTACCAAAATCAAGAAAATTGTATTAAAACAAATAAACCTTGCACAGGAAACTAAATTCTAGAAATCTCACATGATCAGGAAACAAATTAAATTAACTCTGTTTGTTCCTTAGTTCTTTTGGTGAAAATAAAAACTCCAGAACTGCAAATTCAATGAAAACACTTACGGAAAATTAAGACCACAGTACTTGGAGGTCATTGCTTTGGAATGAACAAGTCGACAAAGAATCCAGCTTCTTTGCTTCATGGGATACAATTTTAAGAGAAGACAGTTGACATTGTCCCTGCCCCCTTTCTTTCTTAAAACCCAAGCAATATGCAGTTTCAAAAGAGCAAACCAAGTTTTAAAATAATATCTATATATAGGTATATTATTTTATATATATTACCTTTTTAGCTTCACAGGATTTTTTTCCAGGTGTTTAAAGCTGATCGTGTTCATATTTGAAGTCAAGTCTTCCATTAAAATAAAAAAATGTTCAATTTTTAATGTATATTTCAGAGAATATTATCTCCTGGAAGATATCTTAAAAGATTCAAGGCTCCCGGCTGCTCTCTTTTTTTTCCCAACAGAAGGTCTGTAGAGGTTTGCTGTTGAATAACAATAGGAAAAGGATAAGTATTTGAAGAAAAGAAATGATTAATGATTTTTTCCGCATAATTCTCACATTTTTCTCAGCCCCTGTCTGCTTTCAATGCCTGTGGACTTTCGGAGGCTATAGAAATCCCCACCCTAAAATCTATTCACAGTCTGCAGCTTTGATTTTATTCTATAGTAGCTACATTCTTACCAGTATATGCTTTAAAGTTTTGTTTGGGGTAAGTAGAAGGGAGAAGACTTGTGGTTGCCCTAAACAGTTTGAAGAGAACCCCTTCAGCATCACAGAAATCAAGAGAAATTAAAACAATGTGGTCTAGCTACCACCAGTCCTGGGGAGTTGGGAGCGGTGGGGGGGGGGGTTGGTAATCAAGCTTACAAAACATTTGCTCCACTTCAGTACGGCAATAATATGAAATCAGTATGGAATACAATTGTAATTTTCTTTTGAGCCTTCCTCAAGCTATCACCACCAGATGTGTTCTGAATATTCCAAAAACAATAAAAATCTACCAAATACTTGAACTGACATTTTCCTCAAGTTTTAATCCATAAGAAATATGGGGTATGGGAATTAATTAAATGTGTTGTTATAAACAAATTCTGCTTTCTGTAGGTGCACGGTGCATGTGCTTCCCTCTGTTCAAGCATATATAACTGTCCCAAGATATCTGCAGACACCATATTTACTTATAAGTTAGTCTCATTCATTTCCATAACAAAGGATCTGTCGCAGGTTTATTTATTTATTTTATTTATATATCAGATTTAGAAACTCTCCATCTGACTCACAGAGTGACTCCGGGGTGGTGTACATGATTCACAGCATTATGGCTGTTTTTTGAGTTGTAGTTCTATTAACAAGCAGTTGTTTAACCGGACAGTGCACAGTGTTTAGCAACCCCAAATTTCTTAGTAAATGATTAATTAATTCTTAATTTGATTTAAAAATCAAAATCAATGAGACTTAAGTTTGCAATTATTCACTGAGGTATCATAGAATTGAATGACTTTAAATACAACTAAATTTTCATGAGGTCAGGAATTTTTGCTTCAACTTTGATATATCTATTTATTTATCTGCCTATCTGTCATATGAAAGCTGGGCAGTACAATTATAACAGATCCTGTAAAACTAATGGGATCTGCTTGTTAGGAGTTGTTTTAAGTCTCATTGATTTCAGTTGGTCTGCTCTAAGGATGACCAGGTTTGGATTCAACTTATTAAAATTATATTAAAAATAGACATGTGGACTGTAAATAAATCCTACTGAGATGCATGTTTTGATAATACAATAAAGCAGTAAAATAACACTCAGTTTGAATAATGGATAAAAAAATATAGCCTAAAGGAAGGTTATAGAATAGTTAACTCTCCCATGGAAATTACTTTCTCTGAGGCATTTCTCAGGGTAGAAAGCAAGCAGAATTTCTCTTGCACAAACTCCATTAAAATGAATGTGACCTTCAGGTTTTCTGGTAGAGAACTTCTGGATGAATTCTACCAACATGATCAAATAAATTAGGACCTACATTAATGGTATAATTCTTCTCCCACCCACGCACCCCCTGTGTGTGTGTGTGTGTGTGTGCATGTTTGTGAGTTTTAAGAAGAATTTAAGAGTTTTCTTTACTTGTACCACCACCATATACATCCAGCCACATAAACACATACACTCACACAGAGTTTGTAACTTGGAAGTGGAATGCTATTTCATCCTAAACAGTATTTTCAATACTTTATATGGGAAAGAAAATGAAAATTAATACAAGAGCTATGGAGCACAAAAGAAGTCATTTGTCTTCTTGATTATCTATTTGCTTGTCAGAGTTTGAGCTATTGCAATGGCTGGCTCCTTTGTAATATAAAAATACACAGAAAAACCTGCAAACACCAAGAAACATCTGTGCAAAAATTATGATCATAAAATGCAGTAAATACCTTAAAGAAGGTAGCTTTTTTTACAAAAAGAAAAAAGAAGAAGAGAAGGGATAAATCTCATGGAGAATGTAAGTCTGCCCTCTTAGTATCAGTTATCAGGTAGAAATCTAATACTGTGATATTTTTTGAACCAGTTTAAAAAGAAAAATGTAACCACCCTGATACATACTTACAAAATAAATCATTCTTTCTAAGCCTGCACAGTAGGAAAGGAAAGTACAGCCTATGGTCAAGCATTTTTCATTTGTCAGAGAAGTTTAGGTTTAAAAATTGACAGTTAAAATCTGCTACAACCCAAAAGCGGTGGAATTTACATGGAAAGGGGAGGTGAACAATCATAACAAAGGAACCCTGTCAGTATTCTAGCTGCTGTAAACATATTCTAAAAACACAGAGAGTCGTGTTCACAATAAAATGTTTTATTTTGTGGTTTTCTATATACATGTTTGCATGGATATCACACAAAACAGCAAGGAGTAATTATACAAAAGCAAAAGAAGGAGGCATCTTCTCTTCCTCCACAGAGTTCTCTAGCGTTACCTCATTTTGGAATGTCTTAGAGGGAAGGAAGGGAAGGGAAGGATTTGTGCCTGTGAAAAAAGGATGGAGGGAAGGTACAGAGGTCGTATATATGTCTTCCCTTCAGTCCTAACTTCCCAGGGGAATTCCCTGAAGTCCCATCTTTAGGCATACATTATTTGGTCCAAAATCGGGTATAAAGACACCAGAGGGGTGCTCTTATTTATAAGGCCCCCCTCCCATTTTAATGGCTACTGGAACACAGATGGCCTTATAATCAGCTTTATGGACTGAAATGCACAGCACTCTTGGCTTTCCATGTTTCCCATGTTATGTAATTAACCTGAAGAAGCCCCCACTTTAATGGCTTTATTATTTCAAGACCTCCTCCCTATTTTTTGTTGCTGTTGTTGCTCTTCTTGTTTTGTTTGTTCTTTTTGGGCCTTTTCCTTACTACATTTACCAGCCAATTATATCCTTAGAGGGTTTGGGGAAATGTCACTCCTCTGCCTTCCTTCCCCAATTTTAATCATCCCTCTATCCATAACTGCATTAAAACAGCTTTAGGTAGCCTTGATCAGCCCTTTGTCTTTAGGAAGGGTTGTGTGGTAGGTGAGGATGGATGGGGGGGGCAGGGGCGGAGGGAGCAATAAGGATGGGATGCGAAAGGGGAGACAGAAAGAAAGGAAGATGGAGAGGGGGAGAGAGAGAGAGTCCAGTCCTCCTTAGGTGAAACCAAGCCTCATTTATTAAAGATGACTCTGGCTGTCGAGCTAATGGCTGGCATAAGGTCCTTCGTTTGTACGGGAGAGTAAACATGACAAATGGGCCCGAGTTTGGCTTGATTAAGGATGAAGAAGGGATCCATCTTAGCCAAATCTGGAAATCCCTACCTCTGATACAGTAGAACAGAGAAACTACCCCCAAACACAACCTGGCCAGTGAGAAACCACCCCCCTACTCCTTTGTTTCCTCTTCCTCGTATAAATAGTGATCCCACCCACCTCCCTCCCTATCCCCAATGACCCCCATCTTTCTTCTCAGGGAACAGTAAAGCGACAAAGCAACCTTCCATTCCATAATCACTTCTTAGCACAGGCATTCATATACACCCCGCCCCTCCAACACAGACACACACACACACACACACACACACACACACGCAAACACACACACAAACACACGAAGGTGCGCCCACGCGCACGCGCCCACACACACCCTCAGGTCGCGCTCAAGGATGGTTATAGGTTGGGGGTGGGTTTTGGGGTCGGCCCATTGGTTCGGTCCTGAGGACCTCCTGTTCCGCCTGGCACCGGCAGGTTGGCAGCAGCATTTGATCGGATCTTAGTATTGGGTAACTTGTGGTCTTTTTTCCATTTCATCCGCCGGTTTTGAAACCATATCTTGATCTGGCGCTCAGACAGGCAAAGAGAGTGAGCGATTTCCACCCTTCGCCTCCGGGTGAGGTAGCGATTATAGTGAAATTCTTTCTCCAGCTCCAGCACTTGCTGCCGCGTGTAGGCTGTCCTGGAGCGCTTGGGCTCCCCTCCGGTGTAACTGGGGTTGACTGGAAGAAGAGGCACAAAAGAAGTGGGGAGGAGGGAGGAGAAAAGAACAAGGGCGGAATGGGGGAGTGTGAAGGTTACTCTTCTGCCTCTTTAAAACAAAACAAGAACGGTCTTCACTGCTCTCAGTCTTCTGCAAGTGATAGTCAAGCAGACCACAAAAATAAATCGCAAACCGCAGGTCCCCGCCCCAAATCTACTCAAGATTTTGAATCAATCCTTCCTTCCTTCCTTCCTTCCTTCCTTCCTTCCTTCCTTCCTTCCTTCCTTCCTTCCTTCCTTTTCTCAGGGACATACCTAGGATGGTGTTCCAGGCTCAAATTTCTATCGGGCCCACCAGACACACATCCCATTGCATTTACTACAGTTTACTTCTGAATAAATCCACTCAGGATAGGATTACAGAAATGCACCCGTGGGTGTGGGTGGATGGAGAGAATGGACCACAGTGTTTTTAAAATGAAACAGGCTTAATTGGAAAATTTTAAGCAGAATAACTGTTCGACCTTCTTCTTGTCTTCCCGGAGTTCAACCCCTTTAATAAGGACTGGAACCTTCCCTCTTCTTCTGGCCTTACACAGCCTTAAAATGTATACATCCTGCATTAAAAAAAACTTCACTTCATTCTCACCCTAAAAGAGGGTAGCTGAGATCTTCAAAGCAGTTAAACAACAAGGCTTTAAAGTTAATCTATAATAAACTCATTAACTTACTATTGTTAGAGTGTTTGGTATCATTGCTGAGAAAGAGTGACAGCATTCCCTTCGTTAAATTATGAATAGCAGGCCACTTTTAAATTTAACGGCAATTATAAACAGAAATCAGAAAAAGAGGCCCCTATTTACACGTGCAGACTATCTAATAACGAATTCATCAACCATAGGAGTGAAATGTAGAGTGCAGTTAAATCTCGTCTTATTGGACTGATAACCAGCATAAGTACCTCAAAATCACTTTCAGCAAACAGGCATTAATAAACTCAGGGGCAGCAATTTAAGTGCCCCAGAGAAAAGTAATATTCATCCACGTGTACCAAAGAGTTAAGTGTGCACCCCAAAGTTTTATAAAGTTTCTGCTATCATGTAATATACTTTCATACTAAATCGTTTTTTCTCTAATTCCACAATATAGCCACCTTCAATGCTATGAAAAGGGATTGTGAAAAACCTTCAAGAAAGCGGCTTTTCAAGAGAGGAAAAAGAAACGTACAAATTGAGCTGTTAAAAATCCCATTCCTCCTTAAAAATTTTCCAGTGAAAAGGAAAGAAGGAAAGGAGAGGAGAGGAGAGGAGAGGAGAGGAGAGGAAAGGAAAGGAAAGGAAAGGAAAGGAAAGGAAAGGAAAGGAAAG